GGTTTGTACTAGTGTGACATTGCTGAACACAAATGTGTATTTTATTGCAGTTAAAACCAACAGTATTATGACATTCACAGCTAAAATGCCATGCGGAACAAAGAAAATAACAATTTATTAATTTCTCACTTTTTTTAGATTTCATATATAAATGTGTTGTAAAATAAAAGCCCTGTTTCTCCTAAACAAAATTAGATATATATTTATTAATAATGACTACAAAATGTAAAACAAAACCTGGAATTTGACGATCTATGTCTGTTTAACCATAATTTAAATATATATATATATTTGCGGTTGTAACATCACTGCAGATTTGGGATTTCTGTGGGAAAAGCAAGTCTTATGGCTTGACTGGTGTGCAGATTTTTAACATTGTATTAACTATCCACAGACTTCAGGTGGAAGGGGTTTTTAATCACAATTTTTCCCCACCATAACCTATTTGGATTTTGCTTCCCAAGCACTACCAAGCCTCAATAAGCAAACCAGTAACCAACCTCATGCTGAAGAGTTGCATTAACAGCGAAACAGCTGTCCATGAGTGGTTCACTGGTTTTGCATCTTTTCCTAAATTGTGTTCCAAGCAGTTGTATACTGCAAACACAGATTAAAAGGAATCCATGTTTAAAATGGAATGAGGCAAAAATGTGATTCTTTGTTAAACTAATTTGCATATGCCCACCCAGAATCCTTTGCGGTTCTAACATCACTGCAGATTTGGGATTTCTGTGGGAAAAGCAAGTCTTACGGCTTGACTGGTGTGCAGATTTTTGTTTAACATTGTATTAACTATCCACAGACTTCAGGTGGAAGGGCTTTTCAATCACAATTTTTTCCGCACTATAACCTATTTTGAGATATATATATTTGCAAGAAAAAGTATGTGAACCCTTTGGCATGATATAGATTTCTGCCCAAATTGGTCAACCGATTTCCTTGAGTTTGAACACTAGTCTATTGTGTGGAACTGTATCAAATGCTTTGGCAAAATCCACATAGATCACATCCACTGCAACACCCTGATCTATACTTCTTCGTAAAACACAATAAAGTTAGTTTGACATGACCTGTGCTTCATAAAACCGTGCTGATCTTTGCTGATAACCATGTTCTTCTCAAGGAATTCTTGAATATTATCCCTTAATAACCTTTCAAATATTTTACCAGCCACAGAAGTTAAGCTCACAGGCCTATAATTTCCAGGCAAGGATTTTGAATCCTTTTTGAATATAGGAACCACATCTGCCTTCCTCCAATCCTCCGGAACACTTCCTGAAAGAAAAGAATCTTGAAAGATTAAAAACAGAAGTTCACTTATTTCTACACTTAGTACACGTGGATGGATACCGTCGGGCCCTGGAGCTTTGTGTATATTCACTTTCTTTAGTTGCTGCAGCACATTGTCTTGAGTTAACCAATTACAATTATTCTGCAAGTTTTTAGTAGCAATCATTTGCACATCTATAGATAAATAGTTATTTAAAATTTCTGCCTTTTCCTGGTCTTCATTAAAGGACCACTCTAGGCACCCAGACCACTTCAGCTTAATGAAGTGGTCTGGGTGCCAGGTCCAGCTAGGGTTAACCCATTTTTTCATAAACCATAGCAGTTTCAGAGAAACTGCTATGTTTATGAATGGGTTAAGCCTTCCCCCTAATCCTCTAGTGGCTGTCTCATTGACAGCCACTAGAGGCGCTTGCGTGCTTCTCACTGTGATTTTCACAGTGAGAGCACGCAGCGTCATAGGAAGGAATGCTTTCTATGTGACCGCTGAATGCGCGCTGTGCCAGCCGGGTGGGAGAGAGAAGGAGGATCGGAGGAGCTCCCCGCCCAGCGCTGGAAAAAGGTAAGTTTAACCCCTTCCCCTTTCCAGAGCCGGGCGGGAGGGGGACCCTGAGGGTGGGGGCACCCTCAGGGCACTATAGTGCCAGGAAAACGAGTATGTTTTCCTGGCACTATTGTGGTCCTTTAACTAACACCCCTGTTTCAGTTTTTAGTGTACCTACACTTTCATTTTTGGGTTTTTTAGAATTTATGTACTTAAAAAAAATGCTTTGGGGTTGGTTTTGCTCTCTTTAGCTATCATTTTTTCATTTTGAAGTTTAGCAAGTCTAATTGCATTTTTGCTTCCTTATATCTTTTATAAGATGCATCTGATTTGCCCGATTTAAATGCCCTTTTCTTATTTTTAATCTCTTGTTTTACTTCTCTGCTAAGCCACATTGGTTTTAATTTGTTTTTTATATTTATTTCCCAATGGTACATAATGAGAAATGTACCTTTCTAATATTTGTTGGAAGATGATCCATTTATCCTCAGTGTTCTTTTCACTAAAGAGTTTATGCCAGTCAATATATTGTAAAGCTTCCCTTAACGTTTTGAAATTGGCCTTTTTAAAATTATATGTTCTAGTATACCCCATGTGCTTTTGTTTTTTTGAGTTTATTTCAAAGGACACTATATTGTGATCACTATTTCCCAAGTGCTCACCTACTTGAATGTTGGTCAAAAGATCAACATTGTTTGTTAAAACCAGGTCCAGACAAGCGTCCATTCTAGTTGGTGCTTGTACAAGTTGTGACATGAAGGTGTCATTTAACAAGTTTAAAAACCTAATTTCTTTTGCTGAGCCACTAGTCCCTCTGTCCCAATTTATGTCCGGGTAATTAAAATCTCCAATAATTAAAGTGTTACCCGGATTTGCAGCTTTCTCAATTTGCTCAAACAGCTGTTGTTCCTCGTCAATATTAACATTAGGTGGTTTATAACATATCCCAACTTTTCCCCCAAGCAGATATTTACCCATAAAGCTTCCACATTTTCCTCATCGCATTCCATTTGCTTAAGATTTGGCTTTAAATCATGGTTGACATACAAACATACCCCACCACCCTTCTTGTTTTTCCTATCCTTCCTAAATAACATGTACCCATTTAATTTAACTGCCCAGTCAGGTGTCTCATCCCACCATGTTTCAGTTATGCCTATTATATCATATTGTTTAGTGTATGCTAATGCCTCTAGTTCCCCCATTTTGTTATATAGGCTCCTTGCATATGTAAGCATACATTTAATGTTATGCGTCACTTGTATATTTTGTGAATTATCAACATTACATAACTTCTCTGTTCTGAGCTTGCCCCTCCCCCCATCTCCACCCCCCTTATACTGTGCTAAAGCCCATCTCCTTTCTGTCCTATCTCCATTTTGTAGATTGCTATGACCCTCCCCCCTACTACTAGTTTAAAATCTCCTCCAACCTTCTAGCCATCCTATCCCCCAGCACTGCAGACCCTCTCCCGTTTAGGTGCAATCCATCACTACTATAAAGGTTGTACCCAATCGCAAAGTCGGCCCAGTGCTCTAAAAACCCCAAACCCTCCTTCCTGCACCAAGACTTAAGCCACGCTCTCTAATCTCCCGCTGCCTTTCCACTGTAGCGCGTGGCACAGGTAATATCTTAGAGAATACCAACTTGGAGGTCCTTTTCTTAAGTTTGCTAACTAATTCCCTGAAATCATTCTTTAGGACCTTCCATCTTCTTCTTACTTTGTCATTGGTACCAACATGAACCATGACCGCTGGGTCATCCCCAGCAGCCCCTACCAATAATCCATCCACTCTGTCAGCAACATGCCGGATCCGAGCACCGGGGAGACCGCAAACTGTCCGGTTGAGCCGATCAGAGCGGCCGATTGCCCTATTTACCCTCCTAATGATAGAGTCCCCTACCACCACAACCTGTCTTGCCTTGCTTACATTTTGATCCCCACCTGTACTAGGGGGCTGTTAGCTCGGCTGTTAGAAGTAACAGCTTCCTCTAATACAGCTACTCCTGAGCTGATGCTCCCAACATCTTCCCTCAAACTGGCAAATCTGCTAGGTTGCACCAAATCAGGACTAGCTAGCCCTTTCCTCTTCCTTCCCCCCATGCTTCCTCGCCCCACTGTCACCCAGCTACATGCCTGTTCCCTATCTGTATTATCTCCTCCCTCTCCACTACCTGTCCCCACTAAACTCTGCTCAGTGAACAGCAGACTCCTCTCAAGATTGTCAATCTCCCTCAAAGTTGCCATTTGCTTCTCGAGATCTCCAATCTGAGCTTCCAGAGAAGCCACTCGCGCACACAACCATCACATAGGTATGGACCCTGGACGAGTACATCCAGGCATCCATACATGCAACAAGATGTGCATTGAGTCAAACCAGCAATCTTATGAACACTCATTTCCCCAGATGCAGAACAATAAAACAGTTACCTTGATAGTTTAAACCCCTTGTTTGTTTCAACTCTTGGTTTTCTAACTCCTATTTGAAAGAGTCTACTTAATAGTCTGCTTTCAAGTAATGTGAGCAAGCTCAGTGAGTTAGGGGTGTGCCTTTATGGGGATACAAATCCCACACAGGTGCAATTAATGAACACTCCCATAATCAATCAAGGTTCTTCAGAACAATGCCTGGATCTCTGATACTCTACTGGCCGATGTAATAGCTATTAGGAATAGTGGTTTCATGGTGAGAAAATAAATTCCTATTTCTTCTAGTAGCTCAAATGGAACTTTAATGAGAGCATTTAGTACTAGAGGTAAGTCCCAAGGAGGCGCCAACTGTTTGGTAGGTCTAATCCTCAAAACTGCTCTAAAAAACCTAATTACGAGAGGATCCAGAGCCCATCTGGAATTTGTCAAGGCTGAAATTGCCGAAACGTGGACGAGTGCTCAGACTAAGCCCTTTATCCAGACCCTCTTGAAGGAAGTTTAGGACGTCCGCAACGCTTGGTGCATCTCAAGGGATTCCCTTATCCACCATCCAGGAACAGAACTTTCCACATATTTTATAATATGAGGCTGACGTAGAGCATTTCCTGGACCTTAGAGTATTAGAGACCGACTCTGACAGGCCCGATTTAATTTTTTAATTTTTTTTAGGCTGTTTTTCTCAAGAACCATGCCGCTAATGAAGTGATTCGGGTTCTGGATGCACCGCTGGACCCTGGACGAGCAAATACTCTCTCAGTGAAAGTATTATTGGTACTCTTTGGCTTATTCGTAACAGGAGCGGAAACCAAGGTCTTCTCAGCCATGATGGGATGATTCCGATCATCGTGCAATTCTCCTTACAAATTTTCCTCCGTACTTTGCGGATTAGTGGAATTGGTGGAAAAATGTAAGCCAGCTCAAACTCCCACTTTTGGTATAGGGCATCCTGGGCTTCGGCTTGGTTGTCTTTACATCTCGAGTAGAATCTTGGGATAGAGAGTTGAAGCTTCTGTGTTTATATTCGCTGCAAGGAACACTGTGTTCCTCTTTGTCGCTTGTGCCACTGGTTATGTCTTCTTCTAGATTCCCAATCCAGACCTTCATGCTTCTGGCTACTGACGTTAAAGCTGCCGCTGGATGTAATCCCAACTCAATTGCCAAATATTGTTTAACCAGATTAGAGTCCATTCTTTTTTCCATAGGCTCTTTTAGGTACGCCATGCTATCAATAGGAAGTATGGTCGGATCACAGCAGCATCAATTTTTGGAATGGTTTCCCAATGCTTTACTTCCTCTGATGCAAATGGGTACTTTCTTTTCACTTTCGCTTGCAGAGCGAGTCTCTTTTCTGGTTTGGACCATTCAGAATGGATCAATTCTTTTATAGTTAAGTGCAGCGGAAAAGTAGGTCTAGTGGATCTCAAGTCTTTGAAGAAGACATCTGAAGCTGATACTTCCCTGCTATCTTCTAAGTTTGTCCACTTTCCTGGAGTCTAGAGATTTTCAGTATTCACAGTACTCCTCATCTTCTGAATATGGATCATTTTGCTCCAGGCTAGATCCCGAAGAGAGAGAAGCTTCTCTATACCTTTTGGTTGCCCCTTTTAGATGCTGACTGAAACCTTTCAGAGATGGCATCTGAAATGTATTCCTTTAAGTCTGTTTGGGGTGAGCTTCTTTCCTCTCCGCTACTTCTTCCATACATTGGAAGCACAGGTTCTTCCCCTCGGGGTCTTTTGAACCGCAGCCCATGCAGCAATTCGTTTTCTGTGTCCTCTTTCTTGGAGATGAATCCTGAGAGGTTCAAGGGCTGAAAAGACAAGACCATATGTTAATACTTTCAGGCAATACTTTTTTCTAGATACACTTCTAAGGGAGATGGGAGAGGAATCCATCTAATATAAACAATGTAACTAAATTCGAACAATTCAAGAAATATTTAAATATTTCACGTGCAATTTTAGCAAATATTCAGCTTTAACTAACCTTGTGGATGAATGCAGAAAGCCAAGGCAGCTTACACTTAACCAACACTTGAATTTTGTAAACTTCCTGGGTAAAATCTACTCGCGGTATACTTTTATATCACTAGGTGGCGCCTGCACGGCTACAAGAACCATAAGAGCAAGAGTCCCGCAGCCATGATGCTGGAGCTTCCATCGCCGATAACTGCCGAATACAGGAACCATGCTCTGCTGGACCCTGTGGAGTCGCTGGAAACGGTAACATGGCTTCCCACTCTCCCTTGACAGGGGTAAAAATGGACTGTCAGACACCTGTCTAGTCCTTGCGGCTGCGGATGATGGGGTTGGTGATCAGTCACACGGTGGGGTCTCTTTTGCTAAAAAGAGACTCAAACCTGTTAGTGCTGCCAGTGCAGTCTGTTTACTAGTTTCATCAGGGAGAGAGAAGCTGAACTCCCCCTGGAAGAACCATGTTAAACACGGTAGTGAGCCCAGAATTTTTATTTTTTTAAAGGGACCTCAAAAACCCCTGTCTGCCAACTGGGGAAAAAAAGACTGAGAGGTTTAGAGGGGAGGGGGCTTTTATTGCATTTAATTATTCCTGTCCCTGACAGCTGGGAGAGCAGCTTACCCATATGTGATCCTAGTATGGCCAGGAAAAGTGATTACAACTCACTATCTTTTTGGAAAATCAATTTTATTCGTAAATAGGTGTAACGCATTTCGGGCTCGCAGGCCCAAGTCATCATAAAAACATGAATTTACAATGGATAAGCAGTTGACTTCTACATTGAGATTTCAATGAAGGAGAGGATCAGTTACAGTTCAAGTGGTCGCTCATGTCCAATGCCCATAGTTAGGTGTGTTGTTGTGTCAATTAAGTTATTGAAATGTGTGAAGGTATTAGAAACGCATAGTTGGGCTAGGCCCGTGAGAGGTAGGTCAATGTGAGTGTGGTGGAATCCGTATATTGTCTGAGGTGATCTGTGTGCCTGTGTGTAGGTGAGTATATCACATTTCGGGCTCGCAGGCCCCATTTGTCATACAAGCATGAAGAGACAATGAATAAACAGTTGATATCTGTAACGAGCTTTCAATGAGGGCGAGAGTCAATCATAGTTCCCCTGTACGCTCATATCAGTGCCCTTAGTTAGATGTGCTGTTGACTCTATTAAGTCGTTGAATTATATGAGTATAGGAGACTCGCACAGTCGGGCTAGGCCCATAGGAGACAGGGCAGCGTAAATGAAATGGGGTCCGTATAGTGCCTGAGGTGCTATATGTGCCTGTAGTGTATTTATACGAGTGGCATCGACAAGGATGGGGAGGTGGATGACCTGTAGTTATGCGTGGCCCTAGTGTATATAAGTGGGTGGTGTGGGTCCATTGTAGAAAGGGTTGTTCAGATTATGGTGTGACGTGGGGAGTGTGTAGTGGTGAGCGATGAGGCGAGTGTGCGAGGAAATGGGTGGGGGTGCAAATCCAAGGCTGCATTGTACGCCCATCGTCCGCGTTAGCAGTTACCCTGCGTATCCTCGTCGTGTAGTCCATCAGAGTCCCCTAACCGTGGTTCCGATTCCATGTAGTAGTCGGAGAGGGTCTGGGGGGGGGGTCATGTGTAGGACAGCCGTATCCCTGTTTATATTTATGTAGTGGGGTTTCATTCAAATTCGTCAGCTATTCCCTTGAGGGTATGTCTCCCTTGTGGGTCCACGTGGTCACCCGTTTGTCTCAGTCGGCAGTGCCTTCAAAGTCTCCCCCCACCTTAGAGAGATGCGCGGTGTACGGTTCAACGTTGCCACCTCCAGCGGGCCATCGTGGAACGCATCACCTGCCATAGGCGCGTCGCCCGGCACGCACCCCTGCCCGCCCCCCCCCTACCGCTGCGCGCGGAAGGTAAACCACTGAGTCCAGAGTTCAGCACACTTCGGACCCCTGCCCATCAGCTCCGCTTGCATAGCTTCAGCCGCTCGAATATCCTCAACTCGATGGATCCATTCTTCTCTGGTAGGGATATCTGTCTTTTTCCAGTATACTGGTACGAGTGATTTTGCAGCGTTTAGCAGGTGCCGCAAGATGGATTTTTTTATATGTAGATAGTGGTTGTGTGGAGACATGGAGTAGGCTTAGCTCCACCGACCAGGTGATATCCCCCAAAATCTGACGGATGTCGGATTTGATCTGATCCCAACATGGGCCAATATGCTTACATTCCCACCAGATATGTATAAGTGTCCCCCTTTCTTCCTGGCATCTCCAGCACGTTGGGGATGTGTTAGGGAAAATTTTGTGAAGCAATACCGGCGTTCGGTACCACATGGAGAGTAGTTTGTAGTTAACCTCTTGGTAGCAGGAGCTAGAGGAGCTTTTGTGTTGCCATATCAACGCCTTGTCCCATTGTGTAGGGGTGAACGTGGTGTCCAGTGCCCGCTCCCATTGACGTTGGAAAGTGTTGTTCTCCGAGGTAGAACCCGTCAGCAGGTGTTGGTAGAGGTGTGAGATAGCTTTCCCAAGAGAGGTGCCGCGAGAGCAGGCGTCTTCAAACCATGTCAGGTCTCTGTGCAGTTTGTCCCGGTGTGGGAGGGAGTTGTAATAATGTCGTAGCTGCATGTATCGGAAGGTCGCCATATGGGATCGTGGGCGCGACTCTAGTAACTCATCTAGAGATTTTAGTTCACCATCCTGAGTGACTTTGTAGATTGGTATATAATCCTCTCCACCCAAAAACGCCCATGCTTCCGTCAATGGTCCGCCTCCAATATTGGGATTGTGCTGGATCGGGAGTACAACTCACTATCTTATACTTTCCTATGTATTTACTTTCTGTGACCTTAGGGGTTGCAAGATTATGCCATCCCCCTATTTCCTGCAGTGATCAAAGGGTAGCAAGCTGTGCATGGACATTCAGAGCATGTGCATGGATATAACCCTTTCTACCCTTCATCAATTTCATGTGAACGGTAAGAGATTCCTACTAATTTTTCATTTCAATCAAAGTTATTCCTAGGCCTCTGTTATGCCTTTTTAATACAGCCGCTGGATTCTCTTATAACTAGGCTTCTAGTTATTCCTAGATTCGCTTATTCCTAGGTCTCTGTTATGCATTTTGTATAGCGCTGGATTTACCCAGGTCTGGTGAGATAGCTCAGTGAGCTAATGCATCCTCAGAAACTTATTAACTGATTTTTATACCTTGATTTCTCTTATGCATTCTCAGCTATCGGCCACTTTTATTACAATATTCTATCCCTCTTTATTTGGTTTTAGGCATTAACGGCTATTTGCTGCTTTATTAACTTATTTCTTTGCCTCTGTACTTGGTAATTGGCATTCTTGGCTATTCGCCGCTCTGTTTTTCTATCCCAGCCTTTCATTTTTTTTTTCCTTATGTTTCTTCCCATATTAAGGTTATTACATCTTTTTATGTATCTATCAATCTCTGCTCTTTTAGTAGCAATTTGCTTTGCCACGGATAAAATAGGAATCTTATGCAGTTATAGATTCAGATTCCTCTGCTCCCAGAAAATAGGTCACACTCTCATGTCTTGTTTCCACTGAGCGGAATGGTTCGTGTTGTTACGGTCTGGTACGCTATTTTGAGGGTTTCCATTATGAAAGTGGCACATACAACCGAACCAAACCGCACCATTCCTGGGCCCCCTTCAGATGTAGGTCCA